GGGGGGGGGGGAGGGAAACTGAGGCACCCACAGATACACTTTACTTAGTGCAATCCCAGGGGCAGGGACAGTTTCTTCTTCGCTCTGTGTTTAGGCAGCGCCTGGCACAAAGGGGACCCTACATGTTCCCACAACACAAGGGATCCAGCACTATTGAGGCCAATGTTTGCAGAGGTCTCCACTAACTGTGGACATCTCGGTTTGTGGGTACTTGGCCTGAGATTCCTCAAGATTGAGGCCCCCACACAAAGAAGGACACTATTGGAAACGGCGACGTGCTCCCATCACACAGATTCTGTGGCCGCGCCAGGAGCTGGGCCAGATCTCCTGGGTCCCAGCCCAGCGCCGTGTCCACCAAGCCACTGCTTCTCCTGCAGCCCCTGCCTCATTCAGCCCCAACCAGGACACTGCCTGGGGCAGGGCCAGGAGCACACAGGGGATGGGATCATGGGATTAAATAGCGACTCACGGTTCCTACGCACAAGGGGCAGCGTTAAAGTAGCTTCCCTGCCCCGAGTCTCCAGGGGCTGCTGCTCCCCCCTGGCTGGGGAACCCCCCAGTGACTCCGTCCCTGCTCCCCGGCTGGGTGTCCCCTCTGCGGAGTCAGGGCTCAGGGCAGAGCCTGGCTCTGAGTGTCCCATTGGCACCGAGCCCCCGGGAGGGTCTGGCTGGGGGTGGGGCTGGAAATGGGGACGCCGAACCGGGCCCCTCACCTCTCACCACCAGCTCCACGGGGTCGCTGGGGTACGACCCGGTGAACGGCTCCGATCTGCTGTGATAGGAGCAGCTGTAGCTCCCGCCGTGCTCCCGGCGCACGTTGCTGATGGGAAACACAGCCTCAAACCCGTCCGAATCCACAGGTGGGAAATGGCGTCGCTCTTTATTCAGCACGAACCGCACGCCCAGGCGCTGCCCCCGACACCAGATGGTCACGGCTCCCCCCAGGGAGACCCCCCCGCTGGGGCTCAGGGAGATGCTGGGTTTCGGGTAGCTGAGCTCTGCAGTGGGAAGCAGACAGGCCGTGAGACGCAGGCCCCGTCACTCAGTCCTGGGGTCCGTCCTCACCACGTGGTCTCAGTGGTGGGTCAGACCCAGTGGCCCTCGGGATGGGCTCCTGGATGCCTTTCCACAGGGGCCAGAGTTTCCTCTGAGCGCTGGGCTAACAGCATGAGACGCGGAGCAACCCCAGCCCCTGGGGGCCCAGAGCTCTGCTCCCTAGCGGGTGACAGGCCAGTCCAGTCTCCAGGATCCATTCACTGCGTGGCTTCTCTGCTGGGAGGGCTGGGAGCCAGGACTCCTGGTTTCTCTCCCTGGCTCTAGGAGGAGAGTGGGGTCTAGTGGGGAGAGCAGGGGGGATGGGGGCCAGGACTCTTGGGTTCTGTGCACAGCTCCACCACTGACTTGTAGGGGACTGTGCAAGTCTCTACTATACACTGAGGTTTATAAAATTCAGCTCTGCCTATCACCCCGTAACAGATGTGTTGTTTGTAAAGGCCCCCCCGCTCTGCAGCTCCCCCTGGGGGCAGGGATCCCCCCTTCCTCTGCCCCAAATCTCCAGTGGCTGCTTCTCCCCCCTGGCTGGGGAACCCCCCAGTGACTCCGTCCCCGGCCAGGTGTCCCCTCTGCTGGACCCAGGGATCAGGGCAGAGCCTGGCTCTGAGCGTCCCATCGGTGTACAGACTCCTTGTGGGTCTGGCTGGGTGTGGGGCTGGGAGCCAGGACACTGAGCCGGGCCGCTCATCTGCTACAATCATCTCGACGGGGTCGCTGGGATCTGACCAGTGATTCTGATCCGTTATGGAGTGATAGTCGCAGGTGTAATTCCCTCCATCTTCCCAGCTGACACTGGGGACGGGAAATTCAGCCACGGTCCCATCAGGCACCGGCCGCACCTGGGGGTTCGGGTGTCCAGCTTTACGCAGAAAGAACTCCATGCCCGGGTACAAACCCTCACAGCGAATGGTGACGCTTCCCCCGAGCGCCACCACCCTGCTGGGGCTCACCCAAATGGGAGGTTTGGGGTATTCTCGCCCTGCTTTCAACAAGAGACAGGAGTTAAACAGGGGAGATACAGCCCCCCGCCTACCCCTGCCCCAATTCAGTGCATCCGTCATTCAGCCTCTCTAGGACTCTGTCCCCTACCAGGGTTGG